CGGAGCTGAAGTGGAAAATTTACATACTCATCGTGGTCCAATAATTAGCGCTGTGAGAAGAGATGGAGGTCTGTGGAATCAAATTTTCTGCAAAAGTGCTTATTAACAGCTTCATTACGGTCTTTGGCATTCTTGCTACTCCTAATTGCCCCACTATCATATATAAGATGTGGCTTATCAAATAGGGAAACGGTTTACTATGTATGTGAAAAGAACTATCTAAGAATTTAAGGCTGACGAGTCAGCATTCTATTTCCTTCTAATGTTTTGGGCGTACAAGTTCCAAACTTTCTACATTAGCGCAGCTTTTTCTTGGTCAATTTCCACAGCCGGACCTTGGTGCATTCGTCCGTAGTTAATTCTCAGTTGTTGTTTGCGTGAACGGAAACTAGGGAAGAAACATCACCTTACTGACTTAGTCTTCAAATCGGGCAGGTTAATCGCGCACTTAATCGATATCCTTTGCACTGACTCACACATTTTTAATTTTCATATTTTCTATATCTTTGGTTTCAGTTTTTTTTCTCCTTTTTTTGCTTGTCGTTGACGTATTTGATAGTTTGCCTAACATTCAGATAAGATTGAACCGAAGCCGGCAGCGGTATCAGATCTGGTGGCAAGAAAGTTATCGTATATGCAAAGCGCTCCAGCTAGCATTCACACTTCGCCATCACCAGGTACTGATGATGTCGATTCCCTATGTTTATCTTATATCTTCGCAAAAGATAAAGGAATCAGCTGGCCTCCAGTGAAATTTGTTCTGTGATCTTTGAGTGCTGTTATGTGAAGTAGTAGTTTGGTTTAGGCATGACTCGGTTAAGTCGAATTAACAACTAAATGGGGCACTTTAACTAGAATTTCTTAATGCAGCAAATCTTCGCAGTCACACTACGAGAACAGTTTACACCCACTTTTAGATTTAGAGAGGAACTACTGTGCGCGACTCCTTAGTTTTGTTTTTTCTACTTTTTCATCATCTTGAGCAGAGCGACCAGAATCAGGAATACCGTTGACAAATAAAAGCTCCCTTCTGCATTCCTCCCATCACCCTCGTTGCTCCTTTGCCAGCCCATTAGAGGCACAGGCTGTACCTTCCTGTTGAATGCTTGATAAGTTAGCAAGACGCTTTTAGGAACTGCGAAGAGGAAAGAAATCTTGCTTCTTTAGATTTCTTCTGATTTTAAGATAAGCGATATTTTCTCAGGGATATAGATTTTCGAAAAGTTGTTGATGCATGCACTCGGGTGAAACTTGAGTTCAAACCGCGAAGCTCCAAACAACAAAAAACCATTAAAAATAGGAACCAAAAATATAATGCAGAAAATATTGGCAGAAACGTCATGGTTCAGAACAAAGTCTTGCACCTAGCGCTTTAAGAAGGTAGTGTAATGAGCTGATGACTTTAAGCATGGTGCAAAATGAAACTATGAAAAAGGGTAGCCTACCAAATGAAAACCTTTCTGTTAATCTCGTGAATGTATACTTTAGCAGCACAAAGACGCGAGACCATGGTTTGCATTGTGCAGCGATACATTTGCAAATGTACTCAAATGCTAATACTTCTTCTTCTTATTGCAAACACTTTACAACACAGTTTATCAAACAGAAAGATACAAGATATCAATGTAACTGACCCTTTTCTCAGTAGACATGTACGGGCTCAGTTACCTCCTAATCTTTGTGCTTCTATACACATTAGTTTGGAGCTGGCGTTGATTTTAGAAGCATAGCCGTTTATTTGATAATGAAGCTAATAATCTGGAGTAGTCTTTATTCAAAAGCCTAAAATCCTTACTTGTTTCTATCTGAAACATTAGTATTGGCATTTGCTATAAACTTTATGTAAGATTATAGTTTGAAAATGGCCTCTTTGGCAGGGTTTAATCCAAGCAATGCTCAAAATTTAGCTTTCTTAACGTCGAGCTCGACCTCCTCAAAAATTTTTTGAAAGATTTATTTGCCTTAACTATCAGTTTATTTTAGAACCTGAAACTCCAACATCTGCAACGCGATATTACACTGCAGTAGCTGAATTCAAGTTGCAACCTCCAAAAGCTTCTGCTGCAGCACCGGCACCACCTGAACCAAAGCCTTACAAGAGGATGAGTGGTAGCAGTCTGGTAACAACTCAGGTAAGGTCTTTACATCTAAACACTTTAACAAAAATCTAAACTTTCGCTATAAAGGCTACGATCGAACCGAAAGCAAGTATGGAAGAATCCCAACAGCCTCGAGCTAAGGAACCAAATCAACGTCCAGTTGAAGGGTCACGGTTGGTTTTCAATCGAATCAGAAACTATGATCAATGTGTAATATAAATAATGCGTGTGTCTAAATAACTGTGGATACTGTAGTCAAACGGCGCTTACCATTTAGACGACTCTCCTATACAAATCCGCTGTTTCGTCCGAGCTATGCCTACAACGCATGGCTCGCTCCCTACACGACGTCAGTTCATTACGTTGTGTCGTTCTGAACGTGCATAGTACTAGTGCAATTTTGGGTTGTTCAACCCTGAAATATACGCAAGGGTTAACCAAGTTGAAATTGTACTAGTTGTCTTTTGTGAC